GCATTCCTGGGGAAGGTAAGAGAATGAGCTATGAGGTGGGGAGCTGGAGTCCGGCTTGCTCCAGCTGAGCCTTGCAGAGCATACTGCTCACTGGACCAGTGGCTCTGCCCAGGATGTGAGTTCTTTGCCATCCCCCCCACCAACATGCCACCTCTGAGTACCCCAAGTTCTCTGGAGCTATGCAGGCACCCCCAGTGCAATCAGGCAGGTCTACAGACTGCTGGACCTGATGGGCCTGGAGAGTCTGGAGAGGAAGCATCACTTTTCTATTTCTTCCCCAGCTTTAGGATGTATTGTCAAATTTTAAACTTTCATAATTTTGTCATATTATGACTGAATCTGAGGCATTTACCCAGGAATGGAATTTTAGGGTCACTGAGTATGTGTAAGTCCATTTTTAGGAGATACTATCGAAGAGTTTTTGAAAGTGGTTGTAGGAGTTTACACACATAGCGGCGTATGAGAGTTCCAGTTGCTTCACATCCTCACCAACACTTGGTATTGTCAGCATTTTTCAGCCATTCTGGTATATGTGTAGCGGTGTTTCATTGTGGTTTTAATCTGCATTTTCCTGATGAGTAATGATGTTGTGCAGCTTTTTATGTACCTGTTGGCCATTTGGTTATCTTTCTGTGAAATGCCTAGTCAAATCTTTTGCCCATTTCTTTTTTCAGGTAGATTGTCTCTTTCCTCTTATTAATTCACAGAAATTAGTTATGTATCCTTTGTGAGGCTTTTTCCAGATAAATATATGACACGTATTTATTCTCCTTCTGCTCTTTCTTACTCTCTTGAAGGCGTCGTTTGATGAAGTGAAGTTCTTAGTTTTAATAAGGTCCAGTTTATTAATTTTTGTCTTTATACCCCAAGGTCAAGAAAATATTCTCCTATGTTATCTAATACAAATGCTATTATTTTAAACTTCCACATTTAGATTTTAAATCCACCTGGAATTGATTTTTTTGTTCATGGTGTAAGGTAGGAGTCAAGATTAATTTCTTTCCCATATGGGTAACTAGTGACCCTGGGCTGTTTACTAAGACTATCTTCTCCCCATTGCTCTGCCGGGCCTCTTTAGTATATACAACATAAATGTTCATATGTGTGGGTCTGAGTTGGACTCTCTGTTTCTCTTTGTGTTTATCCTTGCGCTACTACAGCACATTGCCCTGATGATTGTAACTTTATTCTAAGGCTTAATATCTGGTCGTGTAAGCCGTTCAAGTTTTTTTGAGATTTTTCTTTGAGATTGTCTTGACTATTCTTGGCCATTTGTACTTCTGTGGAAATTTTGAAATCAAATAGTGTCCACCAGACATCTGCTGAGATACTTTATTGTGATTCTATAAATCTATGGATCAATTTGGGGAGAAGTAACATCTTAACAATACATGGCAAAACAAACAAACAAATAAAAACACCAAAAAACCCCCAACCCAAACCATCATAATAAAAAGGAAGAAATGATAAACTGTGAATATTTGTAATTCATATTACAAAGGGGCTCACATGCCCAATATACAAAGAGTTCCTAGAAATTGATAAGAAAAAGAACAGACACACAGTAGAAAAATTGGCAAAAGGCATGAACCCACAGTTCACAGAAAAAGAAATGTGAATAGCCTTAAGTATATGAAAATATGAATAGAAATAAAATAGAAATAGAAATGCCTACATATGTTCACCATGCAAAAGAATGTTCAGAGCAGCATTATTTGGTAATTCTGTAAACTGGAAACCACCCAAATGTGCATCAGTAATAGAAAGGACAAATACGATGGGTTATATTTTTTGGTAATGGGATGATATACAGAAATAAAAATGAACTACAGCCACATTCAAAAATATGTTTGAAACTTACAAACATAATGAAAGAAGTCCAACATAAAAGGGTACATTCTGTATTATTCCATTTAAGTTCAAAAACAAGCAAAACTAATTCATAAGTTAGAATATTTGTTACCCTTGGGGAGGAGAGGGCAGTGACTTGGGATGGGTACATTAAGGGGGCTCCTGGAGAGCTGGTAATGTTCTATTTCTTGTGGGTACTGGTTACCAGGTGTATTCCCACTGGATAATATACTAAGCTATACACTTATGATTTCCATACTTTTCGGTATGTGTGCTCTAGTTCAACACACAAATCCTATCAGTTAGATCCAGAACTTTTTTTCTGGTTAGTCCCAAGGTCAGATGACATAGTGTTTGGTTCAAAACTCTGGAATTACATGGTCGAGATTCACATCCTGGATTTAATCACTTCCTATCTTGGAGATCTTGGCCAAGTTACCAACTCTCTGAGCCTCAGCTTCTTCATCTAATTAGAGTACCCCTCTCATAGTTATTGAGAGTATTAAACCCTCTCAATAAATATTAGCTCTTGAGGGCGTCCTTGTTGGTTTTCTTTCTATGGACTATGGAGAAGATGGACGATGGACTGTGGAAGAGGAAGGAAAAGGATGAAGTTCAAGTCAAGAGACATTTTCAAAGTGAAGACTGAGGGGGAAGATACGACGTTGAGGTGCAGGAAAAAGAGTCCAAAGGCTTGGCTTCACTCCTTCCATTCCCTGTCTCTCACCTCCTTGCCCATCTCTAACACGGGAGGTGGACTCACCAGATGATCTCTAGCTGGTTAGTCTTTCCAGTTAGAACATTGTAGAGTTAGGAGGGTAATACAAATGCCATCCAAAAGCCAAACACAAATTTCCATGTTTGATCCAAACTCAAATACAAAAGCCCAGAAACTTGGGAATTAAGGGAGGTAAATTCTCAGTGGTGATATTATGGGTTATTTTTATTTTCTCCATTCAATTTTTTTTTTCTATTTTAAACAATGTGTGTTGCTTACTCAGAACCCAGAAAGCATCTCTCTGAGCGGGGAAAACACAGTTACTGATGTAGAAGGGCCACGCCAACAGGGCCTCTTAGACAAGACAGAGATCTTGCTAACTGCAAATAACTCCTGGACATTTCCTATTTTTTATTGTGTTTTTCACCCTTAACCTCACTTAAATATACTTTCTCTTCTTCCAGCTAAAATTAGTCCAATCACTTGTTACAATATTTCACCTTGTTAATAAAACCTGGGACCAAAGAAGGGGAATAAAGGGGTTTCTACTCACTGTTTCTTAATTTCTGAAACTAGTCTGGACAGAATGATCACTTATTCAAGGAAGTTGTCATAGGGAGCATTTATGAGCAATTGGGACAGGGATCCCTGCTCAGGGGAGGGATTCTCTGAGGAGTCAGGAACCCCACACCTATAGGAAACCCTCACCACGTTCAGTGTCAGCCACAAGTATCCTCAGCCCTGGCTGTGCAGGACTCTGGGTGCGTGTGTGGGAAAGAGCCAACTCTGGGAGAGTCAGACCAGGACACTCCGGGCATTCGTGCACTTACCAGGGAGCACTCAGTGTGTCTGAATTATGTGCAGGACACTGCTGAGGGCTGGACGAAAGTTAGGAGGGCACACCTGCCCCTCAGAAAACCCCTTCCAGTAGGATGCCCTGAACTCCTGCATTTGACAGCGACCAACGTACAAGCCCGTTCAGGGAAAGGAGAGGTGACCGGGTGAGGAAGGGGAGATGAGGGTCAGAGTGAGCGGCGGCGGGGGGGAATCTTGTCACTGGCAGTGGCTGGAAGTTCGGGTGGGTTTGGGGTGTGTGGAAACAGAAGGATCCCAGCAGAGGAGCAGGGTGAGGAAGGGCAGGGGGCAGTGGCAGATGCAGGAAGAGCGAGGAGTTTGCTGAAGCAGGGAGAGTCAGGGCGGGAACCAGATGCGGGGGGCCTCTGAGGTCATCTAGGGACTGTGGGCTGGGTTTGGTAGGGGCTGCAGAGCTGGTGAGGGCCTTTTGAGCAGGAGAGTGGGTACATCAGAGCTGTATTTTAGGAGGGTTATGCAGCAGTGGTGAGCTGGGTGAATGGAACTCAAAGAGTCACATAAATTAGCCTTTTAATTATAATTCCATTCAAGCCTGAGGCCTGGATTCTGAGCCTTTCAAACTCTTTTAATCTGAGAAGAGATGGTCTCTTTAGGAGCCGCTTTTAGCTTCTCACTCCTTGATGTCCTGACATAGATTCTAACTCCCCACAGTCCAGAGAGGCATTCAAAATTGAGGCAAATAAGACCTAGACATCATCCTCTCCCCATTGCTCCTTGGTGAGCAGCTGGGAATTTTTGTATCCCTTTCCATACCTGTTCAAAGATTTCACGAACACAGAAGTGTCGGCTGAGGGTGGAGCTGTAGGAGTTGAGTTCCTTCAGTATGATCGCTGGGTACTCTATCACTTCCTTTGTCAGGAGGCCATGAAAACTCTCATACCTGGGAGGCAGGGAGGTGAGACCACTGTCTAAGGCGGGGAAGCTGCTTCAACCTCTTTTAGTCTGAGAAAGAGATGGTCTCTTTAGGAGACGCTTTCCACTTCTTATTTATAGCCATGCACTACTCTATGCTACTTCCCAGCAGAGATTGGTTTTAACCAAGACAAAGAGGTTAGGATGGTTTTTCTTGACCGCAATGGCTCAGAGATGCATCTCCTGTCTCCTGCTAGTTTTCGGAATATTCAATGTGCTTCTCTGGATGCTCCTGCCAGCCCCGAGGTATCCCCTGCACAGAGAAACTGGCAGGAGTTTCACTACTCCACGAGGGGGGGCTCCCCGTCGCTAAGGGCAACCCACCTCCTCCTGGGAAAGTGCGTGAGGGCGGGGCCAACGGAGCTCCCGCCCCTCTGCGTTGCCTTGGAGACCAAGTGTGTCTAGTTGCAGCTGAGGTTGGACTTGAGTGGTGCTTTGTGCTGGTGCAGGTGCGGGCACGGCCGGGTCCCTGGGCGCAGGGCCTCCCTCCAGTTTGCCCTGAGACTGCCCCTTCTCCTTGATGGGCTTGTGGGGCAGGCGTGAGAGGAGCCTGCTGGGCTTCTCAGCATTCAGTAGGTGCCTAATGAGCGTGGCCAGAATCAGGCCGCTCCCTCCCTCCACGTCCTCCTACCCAGGTGCCCTTTGTTAGGGGGTGAGGGGTGCGGGGGAAGTCCTCGAACAGCGTTCTGCGCCAGTTGGGGGTTCAAGGCCGGGCTGAAATCCCAGCTGATACCTTGGGCACGTAGACTTTTCCCGGAAGAGCTTGAGAGAGTGAAACACAAGCAATAGCTATTATTCTTTGTCCCCAGAGTCAGCCTCGGATTCGCGCCTGGCGTGGCTGGGAGAGCCGACCTTCTCAGTGAGTTCGAGTTAGGTTCTTGCCTGAGGTTTGTTTCCCTTTTGCTTCTTCGAACCCCTCCCCCTCTTCTTCTTTTAAAGTAAAAACCCTGAGGCCTGAGAGGGGCCCTGATGCTTTCTCCCAGGGTAGAGGAGTCTCAGCCCCCGTGGACCCGGCCAGCCTGTCTGCCTGGGGAGCCTTGTCCTCGGGGGAGGACTTGTCCTCGGAGGGGTAGGGGGAGGTTTGTCAGTATCCGTCCGGATCTAATAGAGACCAAACCCCAGACAACAGCTTCCCTGCAGGGGTGTCCAAGAGGCCAAGATGTCCTCAGTGGGGAAGGTGACCCAAATTCCCAGCGGGAAAGTCTACCAGCAGATCTTCGAGGCTGAGGTAAGCCTGTCCTTCTGTTCCCCCTTTTCCTGCTCCCCACTTCCCTCCAGCCCCCTGGAAACTTCCCTCCCTCTGAAGACTTCCTTGCCTGGAATCTAATGAAATAAGGGATTTGAAATTGCTTAGATTAAAAATAATTCTTACTGGCTCCTGAAATGTAAGGATACAAAATTAGAATGTCTGTTTCTGAAAATTAGAAAATTAAAATTAAATTAAATTTAAATTACTCAGAAGTAGCCAGAATTAGCCATTGGGTGTCCTGGAGCTTTTATCTAGCGTGAAAGCATTTCTTATTTTTCTGTTTAAAAACTGGGTTTGATTCTATAGCAGTGTCTTAAAACCTACTTTTTTCCTGGTCAAATTATCCCAGAAACCTTTCCGTGTCACTGCACATTCACGAACTTCACGATGTTTAGTGGCTGCCTAGTTTTTGACCTAGGACTTCCCATAATTTATTAGGATAATAATGCCCTCTTGACAGCCATATAGGTTGTTGGCATTGCCTTGTCATCTATAAAAAACTGCACAGATGAAACAATATCTTAAAATAAACACACAGACTCAAACCCTTCCTTTGAAGTTGTGTACTGCTTATTTAAAAGGGATTTTTATTCCTACATTGAGCCCTAAATAATGCTCTCTGTGGAAGGCTTGGAAATTATAATAGCATAAAGAAACAAAGGGAACGAATTACTCACATGATCCTGTGCCCTAGAAGCAACCATTCTTAACATTTGGGTTATCTTCTCCTCATCATTTCTCCATGCATTTAAAGTTTTGAGATTATAATGTATAATTTTGGATATAATTTTAATTATACTTTTTTTTTTTTTGCCCCTCCACACTCCTTGCGGGATCTCAGTTCCCTGACCAGGGATTGAACCTGGGCCACGGCAGTGAAAACCCGGAATCCTAACCACTGGGCCACCAGGGAACTCCCTTAATTTATGCTCTTAATTGATATATTTTATGGTATATCATATCCTGAGCATTTCCTCATGTCATAAAAAAATCCTTTGTAAGTCTCATTTTTAATAAATTCCTAGCATTCAACTGAAGGGTCATACTGGGTTTACTCAACCAATCTCCTATTGTTGGACAGTTCCATTTTTCCAATTCCTTGTGATTATAAAAATGCGGGGGTGAGCATCTTGGTCCTCATTAAAATTTCTTAAAAGTTGCCCTCCTAGAAATGGCTGAATGACTGATATGGGGAGGGGAGAGCCCACCTGCATGGGGTGTGCCCTGGGGTTGCAGGCCTCCCTCAAAGTGCCTTCCTGCTGGCCAGCTCCCACTTGACCTTCTAAGACAGCACAGTCAGCGTGGGTGCTGGGAAGTCTGCAGTTCTGATCCCCCTAACCTGGATCTTCCTGGATTTAGGTGCAGCTGGTCCACTCCCTGGCATCCACCAGGCAGCGAGCTATGGAGCATTCCATGGCCCCAAAGGATGGCAGGAAGCTCTTGATGAAGAAGATGGATATTCGTGAAGGGGAGATGATGTCTCCTCGGCAGCGGAAGTGGGCGCACAGCCTACCCAATGACTGGGTCACAGAAAACCCTGTTCTCTACAGGTAGGTCCTGCTGTCCAGGCCACATCCCACACACTAGGGGTGGTCAGAATTTCCAAAAACTCAAAAAGAGCTCACACAAGATGAGTACCAGATAGGAATGAAGTCCCAGGTACCTCCCCTGAGAGAGAGCGGTAATAACACCTACTTTGCAGGATTGTTTGCTTCTCCCTCTCTTCCGCCCTCTCCCTTGCCAGGGCACTGGGTATGCGGATCCCAGCCTCCTGGAACTTGAGGCTTCAACGGTACATAACTAAGCAGATCTCCCCAAAGGCGGGAAGGCTCTGACACCGAGAACAGGGTGGTGGGACAGGAGTCAGGAAAGCTGTCTGAGCAGGGGCCTCAGCTGAGATGAGAGGATGAGGAAAGGAAACACGGAGCAGGGCTCTGAGACAGTACTGGCTTGTCTGTTCCAGAAGGCTGAAGAAGCCAGCGGGCCTGCAGAGAGGGGTGGGAGATGAGGCCCGGACAGATTTGCAGGCCACAGTCCGTATTTTGGACTGTACTGAAGCGAACGGCTGATTTGCATTTTTAAGGCCTTCAGGTTGTGCGGTGTGTAGAATGTGGGGGTGCTGCAAGGAAAGGCAGGGAGGCCCGGGAGGAGGCCACCACAGTCCACGCAAGCTCTGTGGGCTGTGAGAGGGACACAGGGCACTTCAGGTTCATTTTGGAGGCGGAACCCACGGGACTAGGTGGCAGATTGGGTGGGAGGAGAGGGCTCTTGAGAGTCCTAGGTCTCTGGCCTGAACGCTTGGGTGGACAGCAGAGGTGCCATTCCCTGAGATGGGAGCAAGTGGGGTTGGGACAGGGAGATCAGGAGTTCCTTCTGAACTTCCGAGTTCAGAAGTTGAACTTGAGATTCCTGAGCATGCCATTTCAGCTCCCTGAGCTTAGACTCCTCAAGCAGGGAGAAAGGAATGGAAAAGAAAAGGAAAAGTGCTTCCTCATGGGGCACTTTGGAGAATGTAGCAGGAGCTGGGCTTCCCTTAGGCTCGTCAAGCTCTGCACCAGCCATAAACCTTCTCGAGTCTGGGACTCTGGGACAGGAAGTCAGTCCTGCTGTATCTGCCTTTGTGTTCCTTTTAACCTCCATTGGAGCAGTGATTGACTGGGTAAAAGTCTCTGCCCTGCCCTTTGAGTTTTCCCAGGAAAAGGTCCCCTGAGGCTTCTGACACTCAGCACCCTGAACAGCTGGGCAAACCCACTGGCCACCCAGGCACAGACTGGAGGTCAGCATTCTCCAGCCCTGTCCCTGATCCCATGCAGGGATCCAGAGGCACACACAGCTGGAACCTGACCATACTCCCTCCCACCTCCTGGGAGGATAGTCTTGTGCAGCCTGGCTGTGACTCTGGCTCCTCCAGGGGTCCCAGGACCCTCTCAGCTGACCTGTTTTCTGCCAGACTCAGGGACTCCTGACATCTCCCTGTGCTTCCTGAGGGTCCCCTCCTCCCCAGAGTTTAGCCTAGAACCACCTATCCTCCCCATAACTGGATATAACATCAGTCAGGCACTCTTGGCACCCACAGGACACTGTTTGGGGAAAGGCACTTCTCATGGAGGGTGCTGGCATTGTGCTGGCTTCCTGGCACAGACAGACAAGGCCAGCTCTGTTCTGGACACAAGAAGAGAGATGTGCTTATAACCTACCAGGCCCTGCCACCCTCAAAGCGACTGGGATCACTGACTCAGCATCGGCACCTCTCTGGGGTGCCTTGTCCCCTCCTTGAAAATTTGGCTAGCCAAACCGGTCAACTTGTGTATTCATTCACACAGGACAGGACCTGTGGTGGGTGGAAGAGAAACTTGGGGTACGGGTAGATCACCACTAGTATAAACCAAGCCCCCAAGTTCCTGGGACAAGTGGCCAAGAAGCCAGAGCTGTTAGCAGCTCCCATAATCGGGGCACCCGGGCTCTAGTGGGGCCACCTTAGTCCAGGGGCATTTGGTTGACAAATGGCCCTCTGGAGGGCCAGCCTGGGCCCCATCAGCTGCTACCCAGGCCCTGCAGTCTTCCTTGGTGGTAGGTGTGCCATGAGGACTACATAAGAAAAAGTCTGGAAAGTGCTGCACATGTCAGGGCCCCAAGGAATGGCAGGCGTCACTGAGAACTGCTGCATTTCTGTGGCGCTTGCCCTGTGGACAGCACATTAAGGGATTTTATTCCAAAGCTGAGGTCATGCTCACCCACCTGGTCCTCCCTGCTGAGATAGTTTGTCCTGGGATCCCAGCTCTCTCCTCCCACACCCAGACCCCATGAACCATGGACCTTGGCATCACGTGCAGGGATCTGGGAAGTCCAGCGCCACTTTGTCCAGTGACTTCCCTCCCTCATCCCCCATCCTGGACAACAGGGTCACCCTGGCTGCCTCATAGGATGGGTTGTTGAAGAAGCAAATGAGGAGCGTGCTGAATGCTTAGCCCCAGTCTGGCTTTCCCAGGTTGGCCAGGCCCCTTGTGGCCCTCAGTCTCCACATGTGGAAAATGGCTCCTGCCCACCACCTCACACTTGCTGTGCAGCCAGAATGGAGCAAGATCCCTGAGGGCAGACCCCAGCTTCTCATCTGAGGACTGTGGTGTCTGCTGGCAGCAGATGCCCAGGCAGTGTTTGTTGGGGGCACATCCTCAGGGCATTTTGGAATCAGTGGGCCCGGACTATTACCAATTCCAGGGGTGTCTCCGGAGACCCAGAGCTACCCTGGAGGGGAGCAGTGTGGGGCGGGGAGGGGGGTGTGTGGTGGGGGGTGTTGGTTATTGTTTTCCTCTGCTTGTGCTTCAGGGAAAAGGAAATAGCCAAGAAGGGAAAAGCTCAAGAGAGTGAGAACAGCATTGCTGCCAGAGAAGTGCGGGGCCTCCCAGACGCCCCCGGTGAGCCGATGTACGGGCGTGAGTGAGGGCAGGCATGGCCTGGGCCAGAGAGCGCTCTGTGGGGAGCTGGAAGCACTAACGGAGAAGCACCTGAAGGTCCCGCTGTTCCTCTGCTCAACATCATAGAGGGCCTTCCCTGGAGCCCACCTCTCCGCCCCGCCCCTCTCCCCTGGGCCTTCGCCTCTGAAGCATTTCCCCTGAACCTTCTCTCCAGCGCAGGGAGCTGGGGGGAGGGGGTGGGGGTGGGGCGGGGAGGAGGGGCTGCCTGCACAGTTAGCATTTCCTGATGAAACCATTTGGTAAAGGATGTAGCTCGCTCTTCTGTGATTTCACAGGAGGGTTTTTCAATCTGTATCACATTACCCTGGTTTGACTTTATCCGGATATGGAGGCTCTTTTTCTTTGTAATTAAAAAAGTAATACATGCTCACTACAGAAAAAGGAAGGAGATAAAGCAGAAGGTGAAAACTCCGCCTCCACAATAGCCCCTTTCTCCGCCCAAGAGTGCCCACCGCCCATGAAACCACATAGTGCCCCGGGTCCCACCTGTATTCAGAGGACAGCAGAGCGCAGGGTGAGCTCACAGACCCTAGAGCAGAGGGCCCACATGCCAACCCCTGCCGAGCCTCTGACTGCCTTTGGTCTTGGACCCCCATGCCTGAGTGTCCTCACTTGTAGGATGAGGCCGGTAATAGAACCTGCCTCTTGGCTTCATCCTGAGGAGTAACTGATTTAGAACAATACCTCGTGAATGGTAAGTGCTGATAAGTGTCGGTAATTCTTATCTGTGTGTGTGTTTTCTTCTATAAAACTTTTTTAAAAAACCCCAAAATGTTCCTATTCGATACATACCATTTGGAACTTTTTTTGAGCATTTAACTGTATATGCAAGACTTAATTCCCTACAGCACTTAGGGATCACCTTCTTTGTCCTTAAGTCTCTGACACTGCCGGCCTGCTTTGGGGGGCCATCTCCTGAACCCAGGCACTTGCTGCCTGGCTGTCTTTTCCTGGGTGCTCTGACCTCACCTTGGCACTCTGAAGCCAACCTCATCACCTCCGTTGTTCTCCCCCAGTTCCTGAGAGGTTCAGCACCATCACCCTCCAAGGGCGAGGGGATTACAAGAGAAGGGGCTATGAGAGCGCTCTGGCGAGCTTTAAGGAGGAGATCGATCAGATTGGGATGGTGAGAATTCTCCCTCTCGCTTGCCTTCTGTTCCTGGGCCATTCCAAGGGGAGGGTGGACTCCGCACAGCGCCCACCACCCCTCCTCCCAGGTCCTCAGTGGCTCACCAGGTGTAGACAGAATCGTAGTAGCCATGTTTGGATGGCTTGCTACAAGTTCTGATTATGAGCAGAACTCTATATGTCAGGTACTGATACAACCTCCAGTTTACAGGTGAGGCCCAGAAAGTCCTGCCTGATTTGGCACGTAAGGGCCAAGTGGGAACTGGACTCTGGATCTGATGCTAAAGCCCAGTCTTTGATCTCCCTGCTCAGCCCTACTAACAAGGGGCCAAACGGCCTGACCCTTAGGCACTACCCTCAATTGGCTCACTGTTCCTCTCCAGAGACCTCTAACCAGACTAATCCCTGGAATATTGCCCTTTCAGGTCCTCTCTGGGCCCCGGTTCACACTCACCACTTTCTCCCTGAGTTCCCTGGATTCTGGGAGCTGGTCGTAGACCCAAATCACCAAGAAGGTGCTCTCCCTGCCAGCTTATCACTTTCCTAATATATCCCAACTGGGCTTGAGCTCTGCTGTCACCATGAGCTCAGTGGCTTTGGTCACACAACCGAACTGAGCCTCAGTTTCCTCATCTGAAGTACTCTTGGAATTATTTCACTGGCCACTTCTTTAATGAATATTTATTGAGCTCCAGCCATGGGCCAGGCATAAGGTCAGCACGTACTTTGCAGGCTATGATGAGGACCAAGTGAGTCTGAGGACAAGGCCTCACACATGACGTGTGTCCCGAATAGTGCTGCCCTAGTGCTCTGGCTGTGAACAATTAGTAAATCTGAACTCTTTAGGTCTAGGTAAGAGTTACTATTTTTGAGAGAGGACCACAGCTGGCACTTCCCTACTGTAGGGTTGGTGGGGGGGGTCCTTCCCATCCCAGGGGCGTTGATACCATAGTCCTCGCCCTCCTGGCCTGTTTCAGGAAATGGAACCTCTCATCGTGGAGCCAGGAGCCCTTCTTTTAAAAAAGCTGGCTGAGTCTGACGAAGACATCAACAATCTCTTCGAAAAGGTGGAAAACGACAGCAACCTTGAAGACTACACCATCCAAGTAGGGGTCCCCTCGTGGCGGGACCCCGCCCTACCTGCGTCCTGCTCCTTTCTTCCCCGCCACCTGTTCTCCCAGCCTGACCCAGACTTCTTGGCACAGACCCTGTTGGAGCTGCGGGATCAGGTGGCCGAGAAGTTCCTGCTCCAGAAGCAGGAGATCAAGGAGCTGGACAAGACGCTGCACTCGCTTGAGTTCTCCCGGGCAGATAAAGTGAGTTGGCCTCCAGATGTGCTCTTGGTGATTTTCACTTGTGGGATTTATGAGTCATCACCTGTTTTTAGTTCTCCAGGAGAAGGGAGTCACTCACTGTGGTGCCTTGTCATTTCTAGCTAAAAAGTGTGTTGAAGAAATATGTGGAAATCATAGAGAAAACTTCCTACCTCATGCAGCCCGACGTGTACAGGCTGATCAATAAAGAAGCCATGGTGAGTGGTTTTCACGTGCAGGGGATGAGCCCGCGGGAGCAGGACCCCAGGATGCCCTAGAGCCTGGGTCTCAGGAATGATGGGCTTCTCATATATAACATTTCCAAGTAACTCAGGTTGGCTACTTGAGTTCAGAGCTAGAGTCTTTGTTAAGTATTTTCAATAGAAATCTCTCTAGTGCATTTTATACTTCCCTGCCCTGTTCATCCCAGTTAACCTAACACTGTGTCGTCAATGTGACCACTGCTAATTTTATGAGCACCTATGGGGCCGTGTCTCAGCTACCATGTGCAGTGCTATGTGTGCTACAAGACAGAGGCACGATCTCACAACTGTTGTGGTCTCAGGGTGGTGTGTGCACTCATAAGTGACCTCAGCATGCTCTGTATGTCTAGTTTTTCTAGTGGTTCTTGTCTTTCCTCCTGCTGTCTGTCTATTGCTGAACCATGCCTGCTCCTCTGGCTCTGTCCCCACTGCTTCTCTGTCCACACCCTCAGCCTCCTCCAAATGCTTCCTTTGGGATAAAAAAAAATACAAGAAAATCAAGGCTGTTCATGAAAGGACACTTCTTTTGGCTACTCAGAGGTACATTCTCTTGCATAGGTTTCTAGGTCCTGTACAGAAAGCTGGGCTTGCCGATTAATGGGCCTCCTGGCAGCACGCAGGGTAGGAGGAGTACAGTGTTGAGAATCACAGATGGGCTCCAGCCCAGGTCTGTGCCTTGGGGTCCTGGACAAAGCACAGACAGAGAGTGAGCACAGAACCCCTCTCCACTTCCCAGACATGAAAGTTCCTGAAATTACTCAGCCCCAGCGCCTGGAACTCCGTGTCCATAAAATGAGGATAGTGATACTTAAACACCAGTACTTGGTGGGAGGATGACATAAGAGGACACAGCAGTGGCCGCTCTCATTTTGAGACAAGCAGGAGTTCCTAACTTTGAACCATTTGATCAATTAGGGGAGTCAGAGTTAACAGTGTCCCACTTATGTTTCGACATTTGACTTTCCTGTGTTTATTGTATGCATAACAACTGGCACTTTCTACTTGCTCTGTGTGCATCTGTCTCATTTAACTTCACCAATTCCTTGTGCTGTAAATGCATTATCTCTACATTATGGCTACGGAATTGGAGGTTCAGGAGATACTTGCCAATGCCCCCCCAGCTGGGAACAGCCGGCATCAAACCTCGGCTTTCAGTGCAAATTGTTACTGAAATTTCTGCCTGCTGAGCTTGGCGGTTCTCACCCTTGCCCCAGGGCAGTGCATAGAGGGCTTTGGGCCATGTGTGGGGCATTTTTGGCTGTCCCAGTCCTTGGGGGACTTGGGAGAGGCTGCTCTCATTTAAGGGGGTGGAGAGGCTAAATGGCAGAACAGTGCCACACAGTGAAGAATCGTCCCGACTGCCATGCCAAAGGTGCCCTGGTGAGGTCCGCTGGGAGGACTGCCAAAGAATGTCCTAGCTCTGATCTCATTTGGTAATTGGGTACTGGTTCTCATCACAACCGTATGTCGCTGGTCCCTGGTAGCATGAGCGCTCTGCTTTTGGAACAAATTTATAAAAAAAACAGTTAAACACTGAAAGCCTGCTGAAGTGCTTAACTCCAGTGAACTTAGAATCACCTTTTTAAACAAACAATCTGAGGTGGCCTTGGAGCTGGGTTGGAACTCACGTGGTCAAGGTTCATGGTTAAGCCTTCAGGAAAGACCCTTGTCATGTCCGTAGCTGCTGAGCCCCAGGCAGCTTCCTTGAGTGCCCAGCGACCCCACAGTACTCCTCAAACGCTGCCACGGCCCTGCTCGGCCCTCAGCCCGCAGCTCACCAGCCCCCTCTCCAACTGAGCCTTGTTCTGACCTTGGAGAGCCCCCGCTCTATCTAGAGCCTGCCCACCTGTGACTGCAGATCATAAACCTCGCACTGCTGGGCAACCGGAGGGCCCTCGCCCAGTTGTTTGTCAACCTGATGGAGGCCACGCTGCAGCAGGAGCTCGATGGCCACCGCCGCTGGCAGGGCCTGGTGGATGCCTGGAAGGCTCTCAAGAAGGAGGACCTGGTGCAGGGTTTCAGGTCGGTGGCTGCCAATACCACCCGAGGCTCTCCCCCTGCCCCCCTGGGCGGCAGCATAGGCGGGCGAGGGGGGCACATTCTCCCTCCCTTTGTGGTTACTTTAAAAGGCTCTTGCTTTTCCTGGTGGTAAAAGTAATAGGTGCTCTTTTTTAAAAGTCAAAATAGATAAAAGTATAAGGAAGAAATTAAAAATCACCATTAATTCCTCACCACAGTGAGAAGCACAGCTGATATTTTGGTATATTTTCTCCCAGGCTTTTTTAGACCCATACTGCATATGTAGATTTGTATCTTATTTTCTTCGTACACATTTTCTCATAAGCATTTTCTGAGCACTGTACAAACTGAAAATGTTAGTCTGATTATCTGCCCACTGTCCACTCTTTACTATTACTGGGCCAAGGAGAATGGCCATCCCTCAGGCTTGGGACACTTCCCACCCTGTGGTAGCAGATTTTACCCATGGGAGGCAGGGTGAAGAGAGGGCCCATCTCCAAGCTTCCTCCACCAGATGGCACTTTTGTTAATACTGACACAAGGGTCCTGGAGCTTTTGGCCAATAGGGAAGGCTTTCTTTTGCTAAGAAAGGGACTCTTGGGACCAAGATGTCTGAGGACACCAAAGAGTGTCTGTCTGTGCTGTAGCCGTGGGGGTGGGAGGCCCATCTGTACGCCTGCATTTCTAGATGGAGAGCACCAGAGTCTGACTCTGGGGAGGAAGGAAAAGTGTATTGAGGTCTGGCTGCACCTGTACTTTCCCTGTGGCCTTGGTCAAGGGCTTGAACATACAGAGCCTTTTTCTGCAGGTGCCGTGATGAACTGGTGATAGGATTTCAGTGATGGTCAACAAGATGCTGTATGGAAAGTGCCTGGTCTCGGCCTGGGCTTGGGCTTGGGAGGTTGTTAAGATGTCAGTAATCATCATCGGCAGTGATGGCAGGAGCTGACATTTCCGGGGCATTTCCCAGGAGCCAGGCACGGTGCCTAGGGCTTTGCTCACATTATCTTGCTGGGTCCTCACAAGTACTTCTTGAGGAGGGTACTGTCATTAGCTCCATTACAAAGAGGAAACTGAGACTCAGCGGGGGCAACTTGCCCAGGGTCACAGAGCTGGGGGCGGCAGTCCGCACCCACGCCCGATCTGTGCCTGCTGGTCCCTCCATTCTTCTCTCCTCCGCTCTCCTTCCCTCTCTTTCTTCCCTCCTTTCCTCAGAGGCCCGGATGGAGGGGAAGGGTCTGGGAGTGGTGTCCGGGTGCTAGGGTTCTGAACGTTCTTACCGTGGGTCTCATCCCTTCTCTCCCGTCCACCTTGCCCCTCCCCTCCTGTGCATGGTGCCGGCGTGTCTGGACGCCCAGTGAGTTCATGGCCAGTGAGAGGATCCAGACTCCTTCAGCTGTGCAGATGGAGCTGGAGACCGTGTTTAAGAACCAGAGCGCCCTGCAGCAAAAGTGGCTGGACCATCTCTGCACCATCTGGTACAGAAGGAGGGGCCGCTGGGGAGGGGCACCTTTTGGGGGTCCATTGGGGAGGCAGGCACAGTCCTCAGCGTTGACCTTTCTTCTGCGGTGTCCTCCAGACCCGGCCGTCTCCCAGTTCTCTGGTCCTGGTCTGGTTGCCTGGGTCCATGTTCTGGGGTGTCCCAGCCCCAGTGGCAACAGGGCACGTGACACATTTGCTGCAGAAAGAAGTTCAGTGTGGCTCTGCCAAAGAGCTTGGAAGCGGGTAATGGCAGGGGCGAAGTCGGAGGGGAGCGGGGGAAGGAGGGGCCAGGTCAGGGGCTAGACTCTTCCTGAGGGCAGTGGGGAGCAGAGTGACTCCATCAGCTCTGCAGTCTGGAGGGTGGGTAGAGGGGTATGAATGAAGCCAAAGGCTCGGAGGCTGATGAGGAGGCTGCTACCATCAGACAGGGACCTGTCAGAGGCTGTGGATGCTTCCCTCACACCTGGGTCCAGCTCTGATCCCACGATAAGCTCTTTGGCGGGGGCATACTGACTGTTCTAGACCCTGGAAGCCCACTGCCTGGGGAATCTGTAGCATCCACCCTTAGCAGCAGGATGGAGCCTGTGTGGTCCTGCAAGGCAAAGACGTTTCATGTGTTGGGACCCGTGCACCTCCTTGGTCCCTTGGACGCTGGGATGGTCCCTCGTTGGACACTGGGATGCAGGTTCTTCCCATCTCCCCACCACAGAGCTCAAGTTCTCCTGGGACATAAATGACTATTAGGACCCCCACAACGTGAGCCAGAAGGACTCCCTCAGGATTGGCATCTCCTGCCCCATGTGCAGCCACATTTTCATGCAGTGTGAAATTAACGTGGATAAAAATCTCAACACAAGGAAAAGTGCTTTTGTTGTTTTCTCTGACTCCACTTATTTCTGACTCTGAGTCCCTGTTCATAAAGCTGGGCAAAACTTAGCCTTTCTTGGGGATCCTGTCCACTGAGGGAAAGTTACGGAATCCCACCCAAAGCCAGGCCTGGTGGTGGGAGTCTGGTCATCAGAGTTTGGTCCACACACATGCAGCTGGGCAACTGCTGCTGATTCCAGACTGTTGGATGCAGGAATCTTGAGGAGGCTGCTCTGAGCCCCTGAGTCCTCACACCCAGGCCACCGTTGCTGTCCAGAGATGTGGGTCTTGCAGCTGCTCCCACGGTGCCACCAGGAAGTAGGCTGGTGGTACTGCCAGGCTGGCACTGCCAGGCACCCGCCATCCTGCTGTGTCTGCACCTCCCCCCAGCCCCTTTCTATTGGGTGAGGAGACAGTCCTGGTCCCCAGCGCCCTCCTCCTCCCCAGGGCTCTCAGCCCACTCCCACAAATGCCTTCTCCTCAACAGTGTTCTCGACTCTCCTAAGAACTTAGACTTTTGCAAACAAAATGCAGAAAGATTTTTAGGCCGATGTCTTTTATGCCCCGCCACATCCCTCATACAGGCTGTGAATGTGGGGCTGACTGCTGCCTGAGTGGAGGGGAGAGACAGGGCCAAAGACCTGGAGAAAAATGCATTCATTGATGCTTCTGGCCGAATCTGGGACACACTGTATAATGGCAGTGTCTGCAGGCAGAGCATGGAGCTGGGTGTGTGATATGACCTGGCCTGGAGGAAGGTGGGGGCAATTCTAAGAAATCAGAGGCAAGAGCACATTTATAGGACATAGGACCCAGCAGTGGGAATATATAAAAAGGTAAAGTCAGGACATAATCCCACTGTCTGGAAGCATTGCAAGCACAATGCTTAAACACACAACTTAAAGTTGCAAAGCCTTGATCACAGAATTCCAGTGAGTGTCGAGCGAAGGTTTGGGTTTGTGGTGTTTGTGCAAAGAGGTCTGGACAGCTCCCACAAAGCACACTGTGTAGACACCACCTATGTTTCCTTGACCTGTCAGCGGCTGCTAGGGAGCCTTCTAATCAAGCCCGAGGAGCTGTTCCATGGAACTGCCTCATATGGGATCACACGTAGCGCCCACGTCCCATCCCGGCCCAGAGCTCCAGGCCTTCCTCTGTAAACCCAGAGCCCCAGATGCCCGGCGAGGATCCTTGTTTCGGTGCATGCCAGGCCCTCTGCAGGCTTGTGAGCAGTGATGGCAGAGGGGTGGGGGGTCTTATTAAGATTCCCAGGGCCCCAAGAGGGAGTTATCCAAAATCCCAGGAGAATCCCCATGGATTTTCCTGGACCCAGTAAGTATATGTGCATGTAAGTTTAAAATAATTTTTAAAAATAAAATTTGCATTTTGGAGTAATGTTAGATTTACAGAAAAGTTACAAAGGTAGCACACAGAATTCCTGTATACTCCTAATCCAGTTTCCCTAATGTTGTCATCTTACACTGCCCGTGGACACTTGTCAGCACTAAGAAATTAACTTTGATGAGTTCCCATTAAGTAAACACCAGACTTTTTCGGATTTCACCAGTTTTTCCACTAATGTCCTTTTTCTGTTCCAGGACCCAATCTAGGATGCCACATTGCATTTAGTACAATGTTTAGACTTGAGATTATGCCCCGCACACTCTTGTACCTACCTTTTGCTCTTTACTGTCCCACTATGAGGGGGCTGCCCAAGACCATCCTGGGTTACACATCTTGTCCTGACATAATTGTTAATCTCATCCCCCTTTCACTGGCAAAATGTCCTGGTTTGGACAATAAATAGCATGTCATACGCATTTTTCCACATCAGTAAACACCACCTGTAACTTCCTTAGTGGCTTAAAGCAACAATCATTTTTTGCTTCTCATGATTCTGTGAGCTGGCCGAGCAGTTCCCTGTGGCTGGGCCGGATGGCCTCACTCGCGTGTCTGGAGCCTCAGCTGGGGTAGCTGGGGCTGCTGGGGCCTCTCTCCACTTGTTCCCTCAGCCTCCAGGAGGCTAATCCAGGCTTGTAGGCATGGTGGTGGTGCTGGCAGAAGAGCTCCCTACAGCAAGAGAGGGCAAGCGGAATGCATAAGCCCTTTCCCCAAGCCTTTTCTGTGTCATGTTTGCTAGTGTCCCATTGGCCAAAGCAGATCTCATGGCCAAGCCCAGATCCAGGGGTGGAAAAATAGACTCCACCTGCTGGTGGGAGGACCTAATGATACTGACCATTTTTCAATCTGCTACACTCTTTTTAGTGACTACAGAAGAGAATTCATGTATTTTATTTAGACAGGTCCCTATTGTTGGAATGAAGGTTGTTTTTGATTTTTTGAGTGTTTATAAACAGTACTGATAAGCAACTGTCTTAATGCATAAACTTTGTATGCATTTTATATTGTTATCTCTCATTAGGTTCCTCGAAGTGGCTTCCTGGGTCGTGTGATAACCATTTGGTTTTTTTCCATTAGGAAAATTCAGTTTTATTTTTTAAGTAACAGGCTCAATAATGTTATTAGAACTTTTCACGAGGTATGCTTTTGGCACCAGGAAATCCCCAACAGGTCACTCATTTCATCGGTATCTACGTAGATAATTCCCTAGACCCGTGTTCCTTGAAGATGCTACCAATTTTGGTAAGTGAATGTTTTATTCAAGTATGGCTCACGTGTCACATCTTCCTTCCCCAGTGACCTCCTGCCCCCCAATTACAGCAAAGCTCAGCTGACTGAATGGCGTTCTACTCTCAACTCCCTGAATAAGCACCTCGGTGAGTGACGTTTGTGGGATCCCACTTGAGTGTCACCGGAACTCTGCTCGAGTAGTAGCTTTGTAGCAGCTTCAGTCTGTCAGCCAGTCATTTATGTGAGAGTCTGTTATAAACTCAGGAGTAGGTGGCAAGTCCCTCTTGGGGAAAAAGAGTTGGGGTGTGGAGAGAAGAGTAAGCTCTGAGGGTTTATCTTGGACCCCCGGACCTTGCCTGGCAGAGCCCCTCCTCCTCCCACCACCTCCCAAGTCACTGCCCAGCTGGTCCCACACTCTGACCCCTGACCACAGCGTGGAGCCAGAGGGATGGCTCCAAGGACCACCTGTGAGGACGGCTCAGGGGCCAGATCCTGGATGTATGAGGTGCACTGTCCCCACTCTGGGACCTAGGGGAAGTCATGGCCTCTCTTGGCCTCCAGTTCCTCCTCCATAAAATAGGAATCTCAAGAGGAGTAATAAAGGTACCTACCTTGTGGGGTTGATGTAAGAATCATGTGCAATCCTGCAGTCCAGTCATAGTTCATTGGCTGGCTTACTCAGTGCTTAAGAATAAATAGTAAATGTTTAGAAATTCTCTATAACCAGGGTCCTCAAACTCCAGCCCATGGGCCACTGCCCGCTAGTAAATAAGGGTCATTGGGACACAGCTCCACTCATTTGTTTACATACTGTCTCTGGCTGCTTCTGCTCTATAACAGCAGAAATGAGTGGTTGCAGCAGAGACTGTATGGCTCTCAAAGCTGGAAATATTACTATCTAGCAGAGTTTGCCAAGTCTTGCTCTAGAAGATATATTCAATACAATATTTCAATCTCCTTTGAGGCAACCCAGTGAGGTCAGTGGTATCATTGCCCCTCTGTGATAGAGAAGGATTCAGAGGCACAGAGAGGTGAAGTGTCCTGCCCAAGGTCACACAGCTAAGGAAGTGTCACAGCCAGACTTGACCTGGATGCTTTGGTTAGTAGTACCCACCACTGCTCCCAGGGCTCTCAGGTTTATAATTCCAAAGGTATTATAATTATATTATAATACCAAGCATAAGAGTCCTGAGACCCCAAATAATAGCAATGGCTGCCATTCACTGGACGCCTCCTAGGAACAAGTGTGGTGCTGGGCCCTGGTAACCAGCAGGGTGGATCTCTCTTGAGTGCTTCCAGTCCAGAGCAGAAGTCAGACCACGCAGGATGTTACAGCAGGGAGTGGACAGGTGGCCAGCTACATGAATGTGTATTTGGGGGCACAACCTGGTTAAAGGTTATAAGACACCTTGCCAAGGAAGTGATCATCCAGTTGAGACCTGCAAGGCAAGTACAAGGTAGCCAGGCTCAGGGGTCAGGGGAGCTTTCTGAGCCAGAAGACTAGTACATGGGGAGGCTGAGAGGTCAGACAGAGCTGGGGCCTTCAGGGAAAGGAGAAGGTGGCAGGCGAGGCTGGAAGATGCCAGAGTGCCAGACTGTGCTGGCCGTGTGGCCATGTGCGGAAGGCTGAACTTTATCGTGAAGGCAGTGGGACCCCAGTGGAAGGTTCTGAGCTGGGAGTGATAAGGTTAGAGGGGGGAACAGATCAGAGGGGTACAGGAACAGAAGCACAGAAACCCAGGGGGGGCTTCATCATAGTGACTTCATAGGAAGGTTGGAGGTGTGCTGGCCTAGGCAGCGGCCCTGGGGATGGGAGAAACCAGCTTTATGGCCTCTCCTCACCAGTTCCACTACACATCTACCCTCCCCAGTGTTTTTTTTTTTTTTTGCGGTACGCGGATCTC